TGTCAAGGGAATGAAATCATAATTTCATGGCCAAGCGATGTGAAGTTGTGGAGTCCCGAGCCTATGTTGAATATGTTTTTCAACGGCTCTGTGTTGAGGGAACGACATCTTTTCTCGTGGCCAAGAGAAACAAACGCATAACTCGTGGCAACACGTAAACAAACCTGCGTGATCATGGCAACCTGGGATTATCAGAAATGGATATTATATTTGATTTTGAATTAAGTATGACAAAGGCAGTGCGGCAAGACATGAATATTAGGCTACATTAGCCTATTATATTCCGCACAATGTGCCCTTGACAGCATTCTAATAAAGATAGATAGATAGATAGATAGATCGATCAGTGACCTCATGCCAAAATCCATAATAGTATTTTGTTTTTGTTTAATATTTATATAGCCTATAGCTTATTTATTTTACACTTCATTTCATGTATTTCTTTACCCAGTTAACGTTCTGCTTCTAATAGTATACAACCTTTGTTTTGAAAATACTGTAAAAACCCGACGGTCATGCCAATAAACTTTGGTTCTAGCCTGTTTGACTTATATGTTGGTGCACTTACTGGAAGTTATGGGAATTGAACATCTATTAAACAAAGTGATTCTTCTGAACAGTGGGACTGATCCAATCGGTTCTAGTTTGATTCATTAGTTATTCCTTTCCCAGATAGCACACGTACATCTGCAAGAGGTCTGTTAAAGATCGCTGACATCTATTTAAAGATGTCAAATAGATGTCTCCGTGATGGAGGTGTGCTGTCAGGGATCTGATTGATTAAAGACTCCATCAGTCCCTCATACAGCTATGGAAAAAATTAAGAGACCACCCGAACATCAGTTTTTCTGTATTTACTGGATTTATAGGTATGTTATGTTTTATTCTATAAAGGTCTCATAACATTCTTCCAAATTTCAAATGCAAATATTGTCATTCAGAGCGGTTATTTTTTTCTTTTTTCAGAAAATGACAATTGGTCAAAATAACAAATGTTTTCATTTGTTGTGATTGAAAATCAGGGTTATTCCACCAAATATTAATTTCTTAACTCTTCTGAAGTTAAAATAAAACAAAATTTACATTTTACTCAAATCCAGAGAAACTGGACAAAAAATTAATTTATTTCCATCAAGAGTTGCATTAATGTTTGGCTGAGATCTTGTATTGACAATGGGAGAGTGGAAGCGCTCTGTAAAGTCTCACTCATTTGTGTGTGTTCAGTCATAGCTACCATGCGGGATCTGAAGTGGAAGGATAAGTTAGTTGAAGCTGCGGGAGACGCATACAGTAAAACTGTCTCTCCTCACGCTGGTGGTCTGCAGTGATGAATCTGTGTCGACAGTGTCAAAGATCGACATATAGACATACTGAGAGAGTACAAACACACACACAGAGAGATCTGTTCATCCATTCTGACAGACCCCAAAATTTTTTAATGGAAATGTACATACAGTGGGGCAAAAAAGTATTTAGTCAGCCACCAATTGTGCAAGTTCTCCCACTTAAAAAGATGAGAGAGGCCTGTAATTTTCATCATAGGTATACCTCAACTATGAGAGACAAAATGAGAAAAAAAAATCCAGAAAATCACATTGTAGGATTTTTAAAGAATTTATTTGCAAATTATGGTGGAAAATAAGTATTTGGTCAATAACAAAATTTCATCTCAATACTTTGTTATATACACTTTGTTGGCAATGACAGAGGTCATGGACATCGCACGACCCAGAGAACTCGCAGTGACCTTCGTCTCTCAGAGCGCGAGATCAGTTGAAGTTCAGAGCGCCTTCAGAACTTCTGGATCGTGACCACCCTTGTGCAGGTCCTTTAGTGCCTTATCCTGGTGGACCTGCAATAACGCCATGGTGTGTAAGGTGGAGGCAGCTTCTCCACAGGCCACATAAGCACTGCCGGTCAGACCAGATGAGTACCCACAGGCACGGGAGGGAAGGGACAGTTTGCTCCGCCAGGTGGAGGCGTATTAGGACACAACTGCATTGCTATCGACCACTCCACCGGGGGCCCGTATACACCCTAGCTGCACCACCGTCTAGGGTGGTGAGGGAGGAGGAGCTAGCAGGTCGGTTTCTGGCAGTAAAAGGTGCTGTCCACGACCTGGCAAGTTTTGTGGACTTTGATTAACTTAACCTTCGGCTGTCAAGGGATCACACTCCAATCTCCAAGGATACAATATACTAGAGATCAGCTGTTACAATGGTATATGACACAATATAAAGCACAATGAAAGTAAACATGAAAATGTAAATTTACAATATTCAAACATTACATCGAGACACCCCTACCCCTTCGCGTGAACGCGTGAAACTGAGGGGTAGAATTGGGATTGGGCCTTATTCTCCATGTGTAACAACATCATCTGTGTACGCTACAAACTAGGGTATATGACACAATATAAAGCACAATGAAAGTAAACATGAAAATGTAAATTTACAATATTCAAACATTACATCTCATAATTAAGCTTTCGCTCATTTGATAATTTGTTGCAAGCAGCTTCTCTCAGGGATCTTGTGTCCACATTAGGAAAAGCACTTTTTCTGCCAAATAATATACATGAATAATACACTTGAATAAATAAATGACAAACATAGAAAACAACATCTCTTAACAGGCATTTAACATTTTATATCATATTTATTCTCAGATAATCATTCATATATTAATGAAGATTGCTGGAAAATATACAGTGGGTACGGAAAGTATTCAGACCCCCTTAAATTTTTCACTCTTTGTTATATTGCAGCCATTTTTCCTCATTAATGTACAAACAGCACCCCATATTGACAGAAAAACACAGAATTGTTGACATTTTTGCAGATTTATTAAAAAAGAAAAACTGAAATATCACATGGTCCTAAGTATTCAGACCCTTTGCTGTGACACTCAAATATTTAACTCAGGTGCTGTCCATTTCTTCTGATCATCCTGGAGATGGTTCTACACCTTCATTTGAGTCCAGCTGTATTTGATTATACTGATTGGACTTGATTAGAAAAGCCACACACCTGTCTATATAAGACATGTGGCAAACTACTGAAATATTGTGCAAGGCAATTAAGTTATATCTTTTATGATATTTTTAATACCAACAACATGTACCTAGCTTGTGGAAGCGGGCTGTTATTATTCCGGCTCCAAAAAATAATAGTCCCAAGGCTTTAAATGACCTTAGGCCAATTGCCCTCACTTTTCTTGTAATGAAATCATTTGAAAAGCTTGTGAAGACAGAGATTGTAAGGCGAACTGAGCAAGCTCTCGCCCCTATGCAGTTTGCCTATAGGGCACATAGAGGAGTCGAGGACGCTACAATTACAATTACTTAATCTTTTGTTTAAGCATCTAGAAGGGAGAAATACTCATGCTAGACTGTTGTTTATTGACTTTTCCTCAGCTTTTAATTCTATCCAACCACACATTTTAGCTATGAGATTGATAGAACATTTTAAGCTGGGTCCGGTCATGGTCCTATTATTGAGGAGTTTGTCACCTGGTGTGATGAATCTTATTTGGAGTTAAATATAACTGAAACAAAGGACATGATTGTAGATTTGAGAACTTGTGCTTTACGTTATGACAGTACGATCATTAAAGATCAGGCGGTGGATTGTGTGGAAAGCAACAAATATCTCGGGACAGTCATAGATTCTAAATTGATTTTTGAAAAGAACTGTGAGATGGTATGTAAAAAGGGACATCAGCGTCTGTTTTGCCTCAGATTTATCAATGTGAAATCTGGACAGCTTTCTATGATGACCCTTATTTATCAGGCTTTTATTGAATCAGTCTTGACGTTCTCCCTTGTGGCATGGTTTGTTAATGTCTTTGAAGAACAAAAAATATTTGAATCAAATTGTTAGGTGGGCAAGTAAGATTACAGACGAACCACAACTTAACTTAGCAGGTCTTTACTCTAACCATTTACAGCGTAAGGCGAGTTTTATTATTAGAGATAGTTCCCACCCTTTACATGCTGAGTTTCAGCTCCTCCCCTCTGGATGTCGGTTCGTGGCTCCTAGGTGGAGAACTAGACGATATAGTAATACTTCTGTACCTGCAGCTATAGAACTAATAAATGAAAAAAGCAGATGACACTCTTCGCTATGCATGGTTACTTTATGTATTTTAGACTGTTGAGGGTGTGTGTAGAAGCACATTGTCATGACTTTTTTATGTTTTAATATGTATAGTATTGTATGTCTTATGGATTGTCTTAAGGAAGGATTGCTGAATCTCTTGCCTGCACAACAAATTTACCTTTGGGTACTAATAAAGATACCTTGACCTTGAACCATAAAAACTTTGGCAGGGAAGCGTTTTTCTTGTAAAAGACGAGATAACTCGTCAATGGCGTCTTATTTTGATGTAACAAAGGGTTATATCTAAGTGTGTGAGTTGTTTACTTAATTTTTTAATCAGTCATCTCATTAACGCCATTATATTGTTCATTCAGACTGATTCGCAAACGCGGAACTCGCACGAACACAAGAGGCGGGAATTATCGCATGAACCATATCACAGCCGAACATAACCAATCAAATCACAATGGAGGCATTGCCTCCTCTCACATGATTTTCCCCCATTCATTCTCAATTACCCCCCAGTAAAGTCACGGCACGCTATGGGGTCTCTGTTAATAGTCAATGGGCTCAGGGGAGGCAAGCTTCTGCTGTAACTTTACCTGCTGGTGTAGCTGTTGGACAGTGTTACTTTAGAAAAATTAGTAATTTATACACTTTTTAATGTTATACTTTGTAATATGGGCGTTGTTTTATTTTTGTACCACAAATGTTTTTTTCTCATCCATTATTTTGAGGAGACACTGCCTCCCTTGCCTCCTTGGAGGAAACGCCCCTTCTCGTACCATATAATAGTGAAAACACAGAAAGCCGGAACATTCCGTCAATGGTGGGGAAAGAGTTAAATGGGTCATAAATGTACTTTTATTAAATTTGATGATCTGTTTACAATATAAATATTAAATGAAACGTATTACTCCGTTTATTAAAGATTCAGAACAGTATGTGTGTCTGATCAAGATTCATAACTTCTGGATGATAATGAAAAATATTAATAAAAAAATTGAATTAATACAAATGTAATGATGTGAGATTTGATGGGTTTGTGTGCATGTGAACATCAGAAAGAGGATTTACAGAGAGTCTCTCGATTGTTTAATCACACAGAGACACTGAGGAATCAGGATAAGCCCTAAATCCAGCACAGAGGGGTTCAGTGAATGTGGTGTTGAATGTGTGTAAGTGTGTGAGTGTGTGTGTGTCAGAGATGCTGTAGAAGGACAGAGTGCCGGCCGACACGTCCACATACACTCCTGCTCTCTTAGAGGATGATGGGGCAGGTATATCAGTGCTGTTCTTATTGTGCCAGACAGTGAATCTGTTAACAGAACAGATCAGACTCCAGGATTTGTTGTTGTATCCAAATATACAGTCATCTCTCTCTCCTTTCCTGCTGATTCCTTTATATGACACTGATATTTTAACACGTCCACTCCATTCAGCCTCCCAGTAACAGCGTCCAGTCAGACTCTCAACACACAGAACCTGATGACACTCATCAAATCTCTCTGGATGATCAGGATATGGCTGTTTCTCTCCCTCGTGTGCCACTTTGCTGTTCTCATTAGACAGAATGAGACGAGTGTTTACTGTGTTTGGATCCAGTGTGAGATCACAGGCATCTGAACACAAGAAGAAAGAAACATATAGAGCAACAAAACAGGTGAGTGTGTGTGTGTGTGTGCGTGTAGACCTACACTTTCGTGGTCCTGCTGTCATCATGATCTCTCCTCCATGATCCACACTATAAACACAAAAACACACATTACTGTACATCTGCATCATTCACACACATTCAGTATGTCAGTATTAGTGTTTGACATACTTGAATATCTGCAGTTTATAGTTGGGATCCTCCAGCTTGTATTTGAGCAGCTGGACTCCTGAGTGTCCTGGGTGATTGTAGCTCAGATCCAGCTCTCTCAGGTGTGAGGGGTTTGAACTCAGAGCTGAAGACAAATAACCAAAGCCTTCCTCTGTCACCATACAGCCAGACAACCTACAGAATAGAGCAGAGCAGTGTGTTGTTGTGAAGAGATAAGTGCATGTGAAGCTGTATCAGCTCCTGTTCAGCCCCAGCCTCATGTTGCTGAACAACTCTAAACTCCAGCAGCCAGACAGTGAGATACACGTCACTGACTGCCGACTGCATCTCTAGTCAATTCAGGATGGACTTTAGTAACTACACTAAACATTGTTTAAATGAATGAAAACATAATTTATTCAATAGACTTAATTATCTCTCGTGCATACAAACACACAATGTAACTAGATCATATTTAACATAGATGTACAATTATTGTGATGTAAGAAGACAACTGGCTCCTTTTTCTCTTCTCTAGAAACATCTTACAATGTTTTTTTACGTTTGGCTGCTCACTCTGACTTAAAAAAATTAAGGAACAATATTCAGTAAAGCAGTTTAGAAAATCTTTGGACTGTGAAAAGTGACTTGACATTAGTTAATTCTTTAAAACAAATTAATAAAAATGAATGTGAAATTCAAACCTTAGTATCTGCAGCTGACAGTTTGGACTCTTCAGTCCATTAGAGAGCAGCTTCACTCCTGAATCCTGCAGGTCATTGTTACTCAGGTCCAGCTCTGTCAGTACAGAGTTTGAGGATTGTAGAGCTGATGACAAACTCTCACAACACTGAGCAGTGAGATTACAGCCAGCAAGACTAGAAGAGATGAAATATTAACAAATAAAATAATGAAATGTCTGTTCTTAGGAACCTGGAACTAAATAGTTTTAACATTCCAGCCTGAATCACATTACATCATAATTTTATCATTCTGGTTCATTAAAATCAGAGATCAGATGAGCTCTTGACTGTTTCTTTGCTTCAAATATTCACACATTGAAAAATGTAGCAATGTTTTGCTGAGTTTTAAATTATGAACCTGAGAGTTTTGAGTTTTGAATTATGAACCTCAGAGGATCCTCTCCATATATCTGTGTATTTAGTGTCATTTTACGGTTTTACAGATTAAATACTTACTGCATAAATGTCCATAAATGTGCGTACACCAGTCAGCGGAAGTGAGAAAAAAAGTGTTTATTACGTTTGAAATATGGATATTTTTCTTACAAAAATGCATGGATTCGCTATAGGAGGCCTTTATTCACCCCCCAGAGCCGTGTAAGGGACGTTATATTACGGATGCGTGCACTTTATTTCACGTCCTCTGAACTGTTGACAACCAACCCCCATTGAAAGGCTTGTCACAGAGATCAGATGAGCTCTTGACTGTTTCTTTGCTTCAAATATTCACACATTGAAAAATGTAGCAATGTTTTGCTGAGTTTTAAATTATGAACCTGAGAGTTTTGAGTTTTGAATTATGAACCTCAGAGGATCCTCTCCATATATCTGTGTATTTAGTGTCATTTTACGGTTTTACAGATTAAATACTTACTGCATAAATGTCCATAAATGTGCGTACACCAGTCAGCGGAAGTGAGAAAAAAAGTGTTTATTACGTTTGAAATATGGATATTTTTCTTACAAAAATGCATGGATTCGCTATAGGAGGCCTTTATTCACCCCCCAGAGCCGTGTAAGGGACGTTATATTACGGATGCGTGCACTTTATTTCACGTCCTCTGAACTGTTGACAACCAACCCCCATTGAAAGGCTTGGAATAGCCAGGACAGTTTTTAATATAACTCCGATTGGATTCGTCTGAAAGAAGAAAGTCACATACACCTAGGATGCTTTAAGGGTGAGTAAAACACAGGCTAATTAAAATTTGTGGGTGAACTAACCCTTTAAGCAATGGTGTTTCTAAATCCATGCTATGGTAAGTGCACATGCTAAGCTCTGTGCACTTTCTAAAATCCACATTGTGGTAAGTGTGCACCCCAGGCATTCTGCGCACTTTCTAAAATCCTGTATGGTAAGGGTTACGTGCTGTCAGTCTCGTTCCCTTTCTCTGAGTTGGCTTAGGCCCCGGTTTTCGCCTTGGGCTCCACTCAAATAATGTATCTCTGTTGATACATTTCTGAGCAGGGTGTTGCTACCTAAGATCTGTCGAGTCAGTTCTTTGAGCAGGTTTATTCAGAACCGGTGGTAGCCCCCCTGCACTTTATTTCACGTCCTCTGAACTGTTGACAACCAACCCCCATTGAAAGGCTTGGAATAGCCAGGACAGTTTTTAATATAACTCCGATTGGATTCGTCTGAAAGAAGAAAGTCACATACACCTAGGATGCTTTAAGGGTGAGTAAAACACAGGCTAATTAAAATTTGTGGGTGAACTAACCCTTTAAGCAATGGTGTTTCTAAATCCATGCTATGGTAAGTGCACATGCTAAGCTCTGTGCACTTTCTAAAATCCACATTGTGGTAAGTGTGCACCCCAGGCATTCTGCGCACTTTCTAAAATCCTGTATGGTAAGGGTTACGTGCTGTCAGTCTCGTTCCCTTTCTCTGAGTTGGCTTAGGCCCCGGTTTTCGCCTTGGGCTCCACTCAAATAATGTATCTCTGTTGATACATTTCTGAGCAGGGTGTTGCTACCTAAGATCTGTCGAGTCAGTTCTTTGAGCAGGTTTATTCAGAACCGGTGGTAGCCCCCCTGGTTGACAGGCCAGGGTCTGGTGTGGTTTTTTAGACACCTGGCCGTATCCCCTTAAAGTAATCTTTTTCTTCTGATTCCAAGCCTTGAGCTCTGCTCTAGGCTTGGGCTTCCTAGCCCAGCCCTTAACAGGTAATTTCTTTTAGGGTATGCAGCTCAGGCCCTTGGACAAAGGGGATAATGTCACTGACTGCCGTCAAGACATCCTTTGGGGCAACTCCCATGGCTATGGTAAGAGTTGGTACGTAGTGCTCGCCATCGTTTTCTGGCATGCACTCCCCTCAGCATGGTGGCATGGGTATACTGTTCCCCATAGCGACCCATAGAGGATGCAGTTCGAAGTTCCCTCGAAAGGGAACATCTCAGGTTACGTATGTAACCATGGTTCCCTGAGTAGGGAACGAGACACTGCGTCCTCTAGTTTCCTTGCCATGCTGCGGAAAAAAGCTTCAGATGAAGAAGCGGATGATGTGTTATCCCGGCGCCCTTTTATACTGTGATCGCACAGGGTAATGATGTCATAGGCTGTCGCCGGCCAATGATATTGTTGTTTTTAGATGTATGCTTCAGACACGGGTCACGCTGAAGGCATTCCCCATAGCGACCCATAGAGAACGCAGTGTCTCGTTCCCTTCTCAGGGAACCATGGTTACATACGTAACCTGAGACGTTTCCACCAAAAATCTAACATGGTTATGGGATTAAGCATAATATTTCTGAAACATACTCAACGTGGCTTATAATAGGTCTTCTTTAAACATGATTATTCATTTGCTAATAATTAAACACTCACAGAGCTTTTCTGCAGTTGATCACGGCTGGTACCAGTCTTCTTCTGCCCTCATCTGATGTGTTGTATTTCTTGAGGTCCAGCTCATCCAGCGGCTCCTCTGACATCTGAAGCATGTAAGTGATTGTTGAGCAGTGAGCAGGAGAGAGTTTCTTCTCTGAGTGCTTGTCTGACTTCACAAACTCCTGAATCTCTCTGGACAGAGTCTGATCTTTCACTTCCAGCAGACAGAGGAACAGATTGATGGATCTTTCAGTGGAGAGTCCATGTCCATCTTTGATCATCTCTTTAATGTACTGTGTGGTTCTCCTGATGCTCTCTGAGCTGTTCTCTGTGTGTGTCAGTAGATCCTGTAAGAGTCTCTGATTGGACTCCAGTGAGACGCCCAGCAGGAACCGCAGGAACAGATCCAGACGTCCATTCTCACTCTCAAGGGCTTCATCTACTGCACCTTTGAGCAAATTTTGCAATGAAGCAAAATTCTTCAGCTTCTCCATAGTTGTATTTATATGGTAGTAAAATACATAGAAAGCAGCTAGAAACTCCTGAACGCTCAGATGAATGAAGCTGTAGACTTTCCTCTGATGAATCACCATGTTCTTCATTCACTCCTTCTCTCTCTCCCTCAATGATGTAGAGCTGTGTGTAGATGCTGTTCAGGACGCTTTCATTCTCCTGGAGTTTCAGTCCCTCAAATAATCTCTCATACTTGCTCCTCATGCTGGTTTTGTGCTGGTCTTTGACTCTCTGTAGTTCAGCATTCACTGATCGGGTGCATCTATTCAGGGATGCTCTAATGGGAGTGAAACTGCTGGTCGAACAAGAGGCCGAGGGTCTAAACTGTAAGCGTGAGACTCCCTCCACTCTGCTGAAACAACAATAAAAGACAATACAATTATGAAAAAAGCTCAAGCTGGTCCTCAAGCTGACATCACCGGTTCTGTTAGTCAATAATTTTCTTATATCCAGTGTTTTCCATTAATGACTAATCTTTTTTGCCCCTTTCATAATGAACTAAAAATATTTTTGGGTCAAAGACGAGACGTCACCATTTTGGTGTCCGCATAAAATTACGTTTACAAAGATGATCAATATATATAGATAATGTAATATTATATATGCTTGTGTGTGTATATGTACATGTTTGCAAATATGCATGTACTCTGTTTAATATCTATATGCATAATGAAGGTCATTTGAGGTTATTCTGGATGGAATTGAATTAGGACACATAGGAATTAGGTTCTCTCCCTGGATGTATATAGTAATTTATTTTTTATATACATTTTATTATATGTTTTAAGTTTACAAAAGTAATTTTATATACATAACAATACATGTTAAATGCAAGCAAAGGGTCTACTTTCATATTTCAAATAACTTTGGAACATTATTTCCCCCATATTTTGACATTTTATTTTCACCAAAGTGAGTAATTGTCATTCAGTGTAATGGTCCAGACTTTGCTTTTACCATTACATCTTTAAATAAACATATAGAATACCAACTTAAAAAATACATTGGTTGTTTTGGCATTTTCAAATAAGCGTTGGCTGTGTTATGTTAAAAGTTTTTTTTAAAGTTATGAAATAACCAGGGGACTTTTGTCCCCAAAATGCAGTTTGTCAGAGATCATTCGGTGTAACAGGAACAAGAAGCCATTCTGAAATTAAATACAATCTGATAGTCATACAGCAGTCTGTGACATCATCAAATGGCTCCTGAAAGACCGTGTGGTGCTGCAGAAAAGTGAATTTATTGCTCTTAAATATGAGTTCATTTCACCTTTTCATGGTGTTGTAACAGATCGGCCAGGCTCCACCACCACCCAATCACAACGATCCCTCTCACCTGAGTTCTGAGCACCTGCACCTGTCACCAATCAAGCACCTCATTACCAGCCTGCATGAAAGCACACACCTCAGACACCCTCACTGTCCGGTCTTGTATACACGTACAGGACTCAATGACTTTGCTACTACTTCCATTTGAATACTTCCTGCATTACTTACCTCCTGTGTTCCTCCTCGTCTCCAAGTGTCTCCTGTTCCTCCTAGTTCCCGGATTGCTGAGGTGTGTGCTCCTCCTGCCTGCATTCCAGCTCCTGTACAGCCAAAGACCCGGATTACCCCGCTCATCATATCCTTTGAACTATTCCCTCACCATCACATCCTCTGAACCCTACCTCAGTACTCTCTGTGACCCAATAAACCTATTTGATTTATACTAACCTGTTGCGTCAGACCTCTTCTGTTACAGAAGACCTCCCTGAGTTTCTTGGCTGGTGATGGAGTCACGGAGAAGCAGACTGGGAAGCAATCCTTGCCCCACTTCAACACTTCTCGGACCAACACCGACGGCACAGATGAGTAACCCCGATCCATTCCAGGAGCTTGTGGACTCACTACAACGAGTGCTATGCCATTCACCGGCATCACCACCCATCACCTCATCCATGCCAACCAGCACTTCTTCGCCTAACATCAGCGCCAGTCCCATGGCCCGACCTGCGCCCTACTCTGGTTCGGCGGAGGATTGCAACGGATTTCTCCTCCAGTGTAACCTCACTTTTGAAATGCAACCGCAATCATATCCCACTGACACTGCTAAAATTGCCTTTATTATCTCCCTGCTAACAGGACCTGCACTGCAATTTTCGCGAGGTGTTTGGAAGGACAGACGGAGATACCGCCGTGGGAGAGCAACTCTACCATTTGCAGCAGGGAACCATGTCAATTGCCGAATACTCGCTGAAGTTCAGAACTCTCGCAGCAGCAAGTGGATGGAATGAGAGATCGCAGCTGACTACTTACAGGGAGGGGCTGGAGCCCCAGCTGCGGTTACAGCTCGCTGCATATAATTCATTTGGATTGGAAAAATTCATTCAATTGTCTGTCCGTTGTTCAAACCGCATGCAGTCCTGTTTAGCAGCAACACCAGTCCCCGCCACAGCCTCCTCCCTCTGCCGACCAGAGCCCGGTTACCCTCCAGAACAAGCACCAGAACCCATGATCGTGGAGAAGCAACGATTATCTTCTGCTGAGCGGCAGAGAAGGCTGTCCCGGGGTCTCTGTTTGTACTGTGGAGGTCAGGGGCATCTGATCTTGTCATGCCCCCTTCGCCCTCCACGTCCTGTGGTGAGTGTGATTCAGCCTGATATCGTTAAGATGGAACCACTCACTACCTGTGTAATGCTTACTGCCTCTGATGTCTCTTTTCAGTATCGGCCCTTTTCGACTTCGGGTCAGCAGGAAACTTCATCTCCAGAAACCTCTGCCGCCAGCTCAAGTTACAAGCTACCGCCACTGAAACTGTCTACCAGGTCCAGTCGATAACTGGGAAACCACCAGGTCGCCGACATGTACGATATCGTG